TCAGCAGGAGATTACCAGGTAAACTTCATATATGTGTTTATCGTTTTGCTTTTGCCATTCTGAGATGTAAAGTTTACTTCAAAATTATCTGCTTCTCCTCTCCCATCTATATAGAAATGGAAATTATTCCTTTAGGCAGAAATTATGTTCAAACTGTGTGTTTGTTTCCCTTTTGACAATTTAAAATACACGATAAACTAAGCAAAGAACCTGTTCCCAGTAACATTTTATACGTACTTGCATGATCAGACTTATAATTGTTTTATTGGGTTTTTTTGTTTGTTTGTTTCTTTTCTTTGTGGAATAGCCATAACTTGCTCTCCAGGAAGTCCATCTAGCACACATCGCTTGCAGGTTTTATTGAGATATGCTTTCCTTTATTTGTTTTCAGTACCTTCTGATACTTATTGAGCATGTAGGCAAACTACTGGCTAAGCCTCAGTTTGTGATTTTATATTTCACTGGATACTGAAGATGGATGTTAGCTTTGATATCGTTCATCCACTTCTGCTGTTGCTTTGTGAATCTGGTGAACGTCACACAAGTGGTGTTAACTGAGGAAGAAAAGCTCAACTGAGCATGCATACCAGCCAGTTATTCTTATATAACTCTACACTGGTTTCTTCTAGCATCTTAACTTTCATAGTTGTATTGATTTCATTATTATTTTTAATAGACAAGCAAGTACAGGAAATTGTGATGAGATTATGAACATATTTGCTATTTCAGAAATATCTTCTTATGTTAATTAACCCATTTAAGCTGGTAACTTCAGATTGGCCCTACTCTGAGAGGGGAGTTGGACCAGGTGATTCCAGAGCTCCAGAGCTTTTCCCCTGCCTATCCTATTCTATAATCATGAGACATTGTCTTTACATATTCCAGTGCTAAAATGCCTTGAGAAAGACTATTCCCATTAACTGTGATGTGAAAGGTTTTGATGGAGATATACCTCTTGGTAGACGCGGGTGCTGTAATGTACTCTGGTACTCAATGCCTGGTGGCATTAGTTTTTGTTTTTGTGTGTAATTTTTTTGTAAGATTGTTTTCTTTATGAAAGCTCTGAAGTGCCGGGCTTTCTCTCAGCACTTTTACTGGCTCAAGTCTTTCTAGTGATCTTTCTTGTTATGTTTTAATAAATCTTTGGTTCAGGTCCTGTGATTTTGGTATACTAGGAAGCATTAGAGTAAGATAAATGTCACACCTTAATGAGAAATAGCTAAATCAACTGAAAACCTTTAATATTTGTTGCTGTCATTCATTAAAAGAATATGGCTTTATTCTGGAGCTTTAACAGCAATTTTGCAGTATACTGCCATGTAGAAAACAGAAATTTATGTGCCAACCTTGCATTCAGGTCCTAGACGATGGTACTTGCTTTGATTTGCAGTAGTGAGAGTCTAAATTAGTTTCAGAGAAATCTATGGGTTTTTTTATCCCTTTTCAATATAAATGAGATCAAGTGTTTCTTTTTTTTTTTTTTTTAAGTTCTGTTGAATATAAATCAGGAAAGGTAAGAATCATAGGTAAAGGAGAATCATGGGGTAGTGCCATGATTCTTTGTCTCTTTGTCTACTTTTAACAGTTACTCTATGGAAAGAATTTAGGATCTACTGCTTGACTAGGGAAGATTTCTTTTTCCCAAATGCCTGGGTATACTGTGACTTTTTTAACTTTCCTTTTTTTTTTAAGGCCAACGTGTAGTCCCAGTTATGTTTGTGTATTTTATACGAGGATGTTATCTGTTGCCATGTGGCATACTGCTTTTTTGTAGTAGATCCAGGAAGATTCTAAACAGTATGTATATATCACTGTATTTAACGGGCTAGTGAAGGAAGAAAGTTGTCATTCAGCCTCTAACGATCAGAAGTTGTGTGGAGTTTACTTAACTTTTCTAACTACTAAAGTGAATTGGAGCACATGCTTCAGCGTTTTCAATATTGAAGCCTCTTCCATCACAAGAATTAACCTACAGCATGAAGAAATTAAAAAAAAAAAAAACCTTTTAAAACTGCATACAAGAAGAATGTTCTTGTTGGCAATCCCTGTTCAGGTGTCATTACACTTGTGACTTTTGGCTATATTGGCTGAGATTGGGTGTTGCATGGGTGGCTGAAGGGACAGAAGAATTCAAGGAAATAGTGGTTGAGATTTTGGACGAATGGTACCGTTAGTAGCGCTTGCCATGTGCAAGAGATGACCCAGGAATAGGTCAGATGAAACAAGAAAAGAGACGGGGTGCCTTGAAGGTAAGAACAGAATATACTCAAAAGTTGTAGTGCAGAAGTGAAAGTCACTAGTGTGATTGCAGGGTCGTGCAATGTTAGATCTACTGGAAGTAATATTGCAATACCGCAGCAGCATACTGGATGTTGTAAAGAAGAGACGATATTAAGGAGAGGAGAGAGAAAAATAAGGAAATGCTGATAGATTATATGTGTATGTAATGAGTCAATAGAACTTGTGGAGGTTCTTTGAAGAGGTAATAGGATTTGATTCTGTGATGGCTGTGCATGAGGTAAGGGAAGAGTTAACAAAGACCATGAAACCATGGATGGGCCTGAATTATGAGGAAGACTACCCTCCACCCAGAGCGGGAAAAGTTGAGAGGAATAGGACATGCAAGCATATTTGTTTGGCCTGCCTTGAAATTAAGGTGCCAGTGTCAGCTTTTTCTTTTTTTCTGTATAGGTATCAGTATTACTTGCAATTAAAGAAAGATATCTTGGAGGGCAACATTCCTTGCACACTGGAGCAAGCAATACATCTGGCTGGTTTAGCTGTTCAAGGTGAGTAAGGCAATTATGCCAAGAAGCTAATGTAGCAGTTGGAAATTTGGTGATGTATTTAATTGCGTGTTTTCTACTTGTTCTGAAATAATCACCCTTCTCCTTTCTGTAATAAAAAAGGCAGGACATAGTTGCATTCAAGTATGCGTTCTGTTTCTATGAAATACATTTTTGTTTTGAATGAATAGCCTTACAAATATAGTGACGTTACATTCCTGAGAGTTCAGTAAGTTATGAAAGTTGCTCCTTAGAACCACATCACCCAGCATGTGGGCTTGGGGGGCAGCGGGATCAGTGGCCCAGAACTTGCTAGTGTACGTGTGCCATGCTCAGAGGCGTACCTGGGTGTACCTAGTGCTTCTTTCCAGAGTTTGGGTTTGAATTAGACACCTGAATTCCTTTGGAGACAAGCAGTTTGAGTCCTCTTCTTAGGTTAGCAGACCTTTCATCTGTTGTCTCTGTTACTGAAAACTTCTGACACAGTAGGAGGAGAAGAGGGCATATTTTAATAAATAAGCAAATGTGACTATACAGTAGCACTTGTATCTCCACTTTCTCTCCCAAATGCCCTAACACCTAAGATAAGTTAGTTCACAAGGCTGTCAACAGTTCCTGTGTTCAAATCTCTGCTGAAGACTCACTTCTATAATTCCCATGAAAATGGTTGCTCTGTTCTTTCCAATGAGGGTCAAATGGGGTGGAGTGTATAGAGAATCACCAGTCTTCAGTCTGTTTGCTCTGATAATGTCCAGTGCTTCCTGCTAATATGTTTGTTCAATCTTAAGTCTCGCAAAATATAAGTTCTTGATGGCAACAGTTTTGTTTTGTGTGTCTGAACGATGACAGCTTCATTCTGTGTGTTTATGTTTTGCTTCACTGTGGATGCCACTCCAATATAAGTAACAGCAATTGTAAAACTGCCAAAATTGAAAGGGACCTAACGTCATTTGCAGTACATACAACTTTGCTTTTTTGCCTTTTTGTGTGCTGGTAGTATTGCATTAAAGATGATAATTGTTATTTTTCTGAGAATATACATACTAGTGCAATAGGGTAAATTAATATTAATCTCTTGTTTATATAACAGTATTTTTTGTTTAATCCAAGCCAGGATTTAATAGCTTTCAACTGACGAAGTCTTGCTTCATTATTTTCCTATCTTTGGACAGTATAAATGTGTCTCTGCTCAGTGAGTTGTTTATGGGAATCTTTCAGTATAATCCTCTTTCCAGATGGAAAATATTTATCCTTTAACTTTTGCATTCCTCTTTCAGTCTTGTATAAGAGAACTGTATGTGTTGGAAACACAGTGAAAAAATAACTCAGAAAAAGCACAGCTTTTAAATTAATGTACTTGGATTAAAGTATTTTATACCAGGTAGATTATTTAATTTTAACAAATGAGCAACTAGAGGCAGTTATTTGCTCTTTCGAGAGAGCCGATTACTTTTCTCTTCCCCATGAGACTGATTTGTAGCTGAAATTCTGAACTGGCCTGAACACTTTTATCTCAAGTGTTATGTTAAGTCTAGCATGGCACAAGTCCTCCCCTTTAATCATTTGGTTCCTAATTGATCCTTCTGTTATGCTATTATAGGTTATCTGTGATAGCTTAAATAAGATCTATGTACTTGGAGATTATGTGTATATGTTTTGGAACAGCCATTCTGTAGAAACTGCAGTCCCTTAAGACAGTTTCTCTTGTGAGACTGGTATATAATTTTTGTGATTTAGACTATTTTATTTCTCCTCTTTGAAAAGCTGGTTAGTTTTTTCCTGGAAACAGACAAAGGAGCAAATTCTTTGGGATGCCTTTTTGGCATGACAGAGAATCCAAATTTTTACTGAATCCATTCGGAGCATAGCTGAGTCAGGGAAGTCTAGGCTTCTAGTTTTGACTTTCTGCATGCCAAAGCAGAAAGGCTTGTGATGGGAAGTAGCCAGTGTCCAGGATGCTCCAACTGTTCCTACCAAGTGTTTGAACCACGCTGCAAGGTAGAGCAGTCTGTCAGTTCTTTGCTGCAAGTACAGTTGTTATGGTTAAATATCTGATGAGTGGGAGTAAAGAAGATGGAGCCAGAATCTTCTCAATGGTGCTCAGGGAAAACAGGAAACTCCACCTAAACGTAATACAGAAGTTTTTTACTGTGAGGGAGGTCAGACACTGGAACAGCTTGCGCAAAGAAGCTGTAAAGTCCCTGTCTTCTATATTCAAAACCTGACTAGACACAGCCCACAGCAACCTGCTGTACTTGACCCAGCTTTGAGCAGGGAGGTTGGACTACATGATCTCCAGAGGTCCCTTCCAACCTCAACCATTTTATAATTCAATGATTAAAAAAAAACAAAGAACTTAAAGCTGCACTCTGATTGTTTTATCATTTCCTCCCCTTTTCAATCCCTAAGGAGCATTACCAGTTTTTCTGAACATGGTAAAAGGTAGGCTGTGTTTCTGCTGTTCCTCTTAGAAAACGTTACTCGTTGCTTTGTTTGCTTGTTTGATTTTTTTTCAGATCATAGTTCCGTAGGATAGAGATTTGTTACTCGGAGATCCTGCTGTTATTAATCAAGTGTTAAATCATTTTGTTATGAATGTCAGAATCCAAGGCCTTTTTTATTTTTTAGCTGATTTTGGAGACTATGATCAGTATGAATCTCAGGAGTTTCTACAAAGATTTGCCTTGTTTCCAGTGGTAAGTACTTTCTTCAACTTCTTTTTTGATATTATTAAACAAAAGTAAGTTGTGGTTTGAAGACCCCTCCCATGTCCTCAAGTCAAATACCAGATTGACAAATGCAATTTATTATTAAAAACCCCATGGTTCATTCTAGCTTACTGCTCCTCAAATTATCAAATTTAACAAAGTTTTTTTCTGAGACTAGAGGGAGATATGATGCCTTATATTGTATAGAAGCAAAGGCATTGCAAGATTTTTGAATTTTATCCTTTGTATTATAAAGAAAAGAAGGTTGGGATGGAGATGGGAAAATTAGTAGAACCAATCCCAAACTGTGACACTAGTGCTTTTTGTTTTCATTTGCATGGAGAAGGTAGATGCATTATTTCCTTTTCTTTTATAAATTTAGTATTACTTCATTTACAGCATCTGAGCTCCAAGCCTAGAGTGGAGGACTTCTTCCGTTATGTAAAGATACTCTAACCGTTTTATTTTGTAGTTTTCTTTCTTTTTTTTTTTTTTTTGTAATTCATTCGATAACGCTCTCCTTCATTAAGGGTTGGCTACAAGAAGAAAAGATATTGGAAGAAGCAACACAGAAAGTTGCCTTGCTACATCAAAAGTACAGGTATGTTTCTAAAATGCTCTATTGCTTATTTTTGACGTGGTTGCTTGAATAGCTCAGCAAGTTGGAAATCTCAGAAGGCAGTTGGACTAAGTTTGCCTGCTGTTTAGATGAGTTTTGCACTGATACAGCTTCACTAAAGTGAAGTGGTGTTTTTAGTGAATGAATGTGAAAGGAGAACCAGAACCAATGACCTTTGTAGAATAAATGAAAGAGTACTGCTTGCAAATTAGGAATATGGGACCCAAGTAGATGATTGCTATAAAGTTTCTAAAACTTGTTTACAGCTTGAATTTGTGACTCCATTAAGGATATTTCTTGTAAAACAACTCTGGCAGGTACTGTGGGCTCTAAAAATGTAGAGACCCAGAGACCATTACTGTGCAAGATCCTTATGATCTAAGTAAAAGGCAGCTAAAATACAGGAGCCCAGGACAGTAAGTTAGAGGAGAGTTGAAGTTGTGTTTTCTGTTGTCAGTTCCTCAGTGAAAAATGTTTGTGGCTATTTGTAAAGTTGCTATCTTTCTGCGCTGTTTTAAAACAAAGCTTAAAAAATTTCAAACCCATTTGTTTTTGAATGCTGACGTAACATGATTGTATGCTTAAGATTCAGCAAAAAAGAACTAATCTGGATAGGATTAGGAAAAAGTGGAGGAACAGATTAATGTGATTGATGAATATTCACAGAATTAGGAATGAGCGAGACAGGATTTTGCAGGTAGACATTATATCTTTTATGAGATCATCTGGGGTAGTCAGGGAAACACAAGCTTTCAGGCTCTCTGATGCTACTGCAGATCTGTGAGAAAAAGGACTTTACCAGATGGTCTAATAAAAACTATTACCTTTAGGTACAGACCTTGTCTTGCTGAAACCATTACTGCTACAATTCTGCTATTATTTTGGAGATGAGACCTCTTTTTGCCGAAATGTGCAGTGTCAATCTTGATATAGGTCTTAAACATGTATACAGGAGCAGGATACATTTAGATCTTGAACGTGTGTGCCAATTTATCCCATTCTGATAAACTGAGAAAATTAAGTGACAATGATGAATTTGAAGAAGGATGTCACAATTGTCTGCCGTTTTAACTGCTTTGTGTTGCTGTTTGCTTACGGAGGTGTATGAGACAAAGAAGATATTAGAATCAAAGTGTGAAGACCAAGACAAGAATGTTAGCCATTGGTACAAATGGAAATCAGTAGGATTTAATGGCTGCCTGGATGTTTTGGGGATGTTTGTCAAGCTTTGACAGTGTCATTCAGAGTAAAACAAAGAGAGATTTTTCTAACTGACAGTATTTTATTATCTGATTGTTTTCATTTGCAGAGGCCTTACTCCTCCTGATGCAGAAATGTTATATATGCAAGAAGTGGAGAGAATGGAGGGCTATGGTGAAGAGAGCTATCCTGCAAAGGTAAACATAGCTTTGATCTTTGTTTTAGTTGTTTTTTCCCTGTTTAAATGGAGTTACTCCCTGTCTTTTTTTTAAAAAAAAAAAAAAAGTCACTCCCTTCCCTCCCCAAAAATTGAAAATCAGATGTGTGGGCCTGATCAGGAGTTGCATCGCTATTGTAACTATTTCACTTTACTGGGATTTTTCAATATAAAAGTTGCTATGTTGAGTTGGATGTATGTGCATTAGTAATAAGGAGCAAGCATTATATGTTCAGCTGGATTACAACTTTAATATTACCTTTGAATTGCCGCTGTTATTTTGTTTCCCAGAACTTTTTTTTACATAAGTAGTTGCTGCTAATGTAGCTTTCCTCTCAAAGAAATTTTCTTGTATTTACATAATTTCTTACAACTCCTTACAGGACAGCCAAGGAAGTGATATATTCATTGGAGCGTGTCTTGATGGTATCTTTGTGAAACACAAAAATGGCCGGCCTCCTGTTGTATTTAGGTGAGTGCTAGTCTTTATTCAAATATCTTTGTGTAAATACACTTACTTACTTCTTAACGTTTTATGTAGGTTCCTCACTAGCATAAATTGCTGTAGGATCTATGTTTATTCATTTGATAATGACAGTCTTGTAGGCCTCGTGTGAATACTGAAGTCGGTGGGAAAATTTCAAAGTATTGGCTGCAGGATGGATTATTTTAAATCACCATAATTCTAAGGGATGAGTATGTAATATATATGTCATTGTAAAACATTTACTAAATCAAAAAGAAGCAACTCTTTGCATATAGAACATGTTAAGTCCTGAAATATTTATGTCACTACTTAGAAATATTCACTTGTGAAAATATCCAAGAATTACTTTCAAATGCTATATATAAATGAGATAGAGGAGAGCAATATGATAAATTATGTCATTATTTTAAATTCATACATTATTTTAGTTAGTCTGTTACTTGATGTTCTGTTAGTTAAATTGTAAACCTAAGTGTATCCAGAACTTAACTAACATAAAATTCAGTCTTTGCGTGCAATGGCCTGGTTCCAGCTGCCTTCAGGAAGGACTGCACAGGCATCCAAGGACAGAATTTGGAATAAATTTCAAAAAATGTATATGGAAATATGTTTAGTGGCTCTTAGTAGATTGTAATTATCACTATAGCTAGAAAGTCTTTGCCATAGAATTGAATTTTTAGCTGATTATGAACAGAATCTTGGAAACCTGTAGTCCAAAAGTTAGTGGAACCTGTGAATTTCTGTAGAGTAGAGACAGTGGTAATTGTGCTTGTCTCTTAGTGGCTTTGATTATTAGAACTTACAGATTCATTAGCTTTCCACTGTTCATTACAAATATGGTCTCACTCCTGCTGGCAGGAGAGCTATTGCCAAGTCCTTTTTCACTGCGTAGAGTGGTAGAGGTGCTCTACTCTCCCTTCTTGCAGAATGAAACAACGGCAGCTCTGCTGTCTGGCTTTCCCAGATGAATGAAGCTTTGTCTGTAAATTTCACATAAGTCGAAGTGCCGGGAAAACTCATATGCATCTCTTTATCTGTTAGAGAGAAACTCACTCCTACAATTGTGTAGTGTGAGCGACTTTCTCGTATACGTCATTGTAAGCTACATCGTGCTTCTAGTTGTTTAAAAACCGAAATTCATTTTTAAAATCTGAGGTGTTTGGAAATACTTAGTATTGAAGCCAACAAAGTGTGGATGGCGAATCTGTCTCAAATATGAGAAGAAAGTTGCACGTTGTTGGAGAGCGTCCAAAAGCATTCACGTTGCAGTTCTCTTCTGTACAGCTGATTTGCTGTATCGCTGTGGGCAGTTCCCCTGGGGACAGATCTATCAGGGTATTTGAGAACCAAAAAAAAGCGTAAGTCAGTGACCCACTAGTGCAATTTACAGTGGTTGGGTTAGGCTTCAGGTTGGTTCCAGTAGTTTCATAATTGCATCCATAAATGGCTATGAACCAAGGCCTTAATTTTTTTCTCTCTGTCCTTCATCAAAAGGAGGATTCCCTGCCTCACAGTATGCTGGTAAATAGCTACAGAAAATGCTATGAGCCACATCAATATAATGGAAATGGAAGTTATATAAATACCTTTAGAAGGAGACCTGTATGTAGATCATGCTTTTTCCCCTGTGTTTGTGCACTGCAGAACATTCAACTAATAAATCAGTAATACAGACTTTGTTTATATTAATGTGTTACTAGTAGATTAAACTAAATTTAAATTTAACAGGAAATTGAATAAATATGTGGCATTCTATATCTTACAATCTAACTTTTCATCATCTGTCAGCTTGCAAGAGTTCTAGAAAACACAGAGAGTAATGCCTTAGTTACTTTGTGTTTAATGTAGACATTTTTTTCCTTTAGAATGCATCATTTCCTTTCAGGTAGTGAGGACATTATCCTTTATTGATAGCTAGGTTCACTTGAATTGACTTAAAAAAAAAATCAGTGAAAAGAAATTTGAAGTGGAAGATGCATTGTTATACATAATATAATGTTGCATGTCTTCTAAAGAGTCACATACTTATTTTCCTTTCAGCAGTCATTTAACAAATAGGGATGTGATGGTGTGCGATTACAGTGTTGTTTAACTTGTTCGAGTAGATTGAAAATTTTTTTTTGTCCTCAGTCACTCTTCTTAGAGATGGGTCTGTTCTTCAATTGCATTTTCTATGGCTTGCAGATCCAGAGCTTGCCAGTCACGTTCTCTCCCTTTTGTCTGTAGGTGGCATGACATTGCCAACATGTCCCATAACAAATCCTTTTTTGCACTAGAGCTGGCAAGCAAAGAAGAGACAATCCAGTTCCAAACTGTGAGTGGATGTTTATTTTTTTCACTAAGGCATCAATAAATGCAACACAGTTTAAGACTGCTAATTTTATATTCTGTCAGCTAAATTTCTTTTTATATATATATATGTAGCAGCTTTAAACTGTATGAATGAGTCAAGTATAGCAACACTGTCTTTGGCTAGCTTCCTAAGGGAAGGCACTTTGGAGGGGAAGGCATTAAAAATCTGACCTTTTACAGTGAATACACTGGTTCGGGTGGTCATAAGTACTCTGAACCATTCCAGTGAAATTTCTTGCGTGCATTTTTTAGCCTTTTAAATCAGCGGCATTTAAAGATCACATTACGGCTTAGAGCCCTGCTGGACGGGCCACAGTGAACCTTGCAGAATCATGTTCATGGAGCATCTACTTGTTTCCTTTGTCAAGAAGGCAATTTTTGACAATCTTACAGCATGATATGTGTATACGCTGTAAAAGGTGGTAGTATTGTGGCTGATAAGAATACCATCAACAAAAGGCGTCTGCTTTCAACTTTCATAAATCTAATAAAACCTTTAGGCTAGGGTACCTGTTCAGGTCTGCAAAGAGAAATTTTAAGGAAAAATTGGTCAATGCCAATTTAATCTTAAAAATGTTGATGGCTTCTGTGAGAGCAGGTGATAGGTATACCTGTTTTAACATATTAGCATGTTTTACCTAATAGCAATTTTTTTTCGTTTTTTTGGCAGGAAGATATGGAAACAGCAAAATATGTGTGGAGGATGTGTGTGGCTAGACACAAATTTTACAGACTAAATAAATGCAGCCTGTAAGTAGCATACACTAGCAGAACTCTTGATGCCCTTGAAGCTCCATTGGGAACCAACATCTTTTATAACCTCTATAATATCTTTATTTTTCTTTTCCGTTTATGCCAACTAATAACTTGGATTTTTTCCTATTTTTTATAAGAAAGTATTTATCACCAATTACTACAACTTGTATTTAAAAATGATTTTAAAAAGGGCTCAAAAACAGTTCAGCCTTATAACAGAGAACAATGTTAAATTTCAATCTTTACTAAATTAACAGTGTTTGGCCCCTGGTGCTGAATCTCAGTGCTGTAGTAGACCTCAGTTGTTGTGGGGGCCACTAATGCTAAAATGTTTGTGAGATACTGAAATCACTGGGATTTTGGCCTACATTTGAGCAAAGCATTTAAAGATCACTCTGACGGCCTTTAAAAGGACAGGAAGTGCATGTGAAGCACTCTTGAAATGTGCTGGATTGACAGCTGAGAGGTATGTGGTCCTTTGGGTATCTGTGGAATCTGTATAGCTCGAGTAGCACTAGTGGCAGTAGCAACCTAAATTTAATACAATTAATCAAATTAGATTTAAATGGGCTGGTATCCAATTTGTAAATCAAGGGCTAGAATTTGAGCTACTCTTCTCTACAGGTACCAGCTGTCCTTCAGTTACAATACTTCAGTCAAAGAACAAAGAACTAGACCCAGAGAATCGCCTGTCATTAAAAAAAAATAAATATGTGATTCCCAAATGTTCCACTCTGCTGCTTTGTACGGAGGTCTGCAACAAACTACGTAGGGAGGGCTTGGTACAAAATTCCCTGAAGCCAAGGGAGAGATAATGGGATGTTTTGTACCACAGAACTCACTAGTAGTATGTTTATTGTGAACTCAACTTAGAAGAATAGGATTAATTTGGAATAGCCCTCTTATCTTAAGCTTGGCTGCCTCTTGAGAGGGGTGAGAAATATTGGTTATGTTAGTGTATTTGCGGGACTCTCTCATTGCACTCTGAATAATAGCAGTTTTATAGCTATATATTGAATGCTAGTTTTCAAGGTTACTTATTCTGACCCTTTTGTAGCAACACAGTTTTATTAATAGGAGAAGTCCTCAAAGAAAACTTTTTAACTTTATCTCCACTCTAAGATTCTCTGTCATCTGGTCCTGCTGCTGAAAAATATCTTATGCATGCCTATATAATGTTCAGTCTTTTTTTTTCTGTTGGTAGCTAGGACCTTTCTTAATTAGATTTCTTTGCATGTTAGCTGACTGTTTCCGTTTTATCTGTACGTGCCTTGTCTTTAGCGACTCTCCGGACTCTCCATCCGAGGAGGGCTCTCAGAAATCTTCCCTCAGTCTTTCCCTTCCACGCTTTCCAATTCTTTCTCGTCCTTCATTTCCCAAAGGGTGAGCTGGAAAATCGTCTTTCTTTCTGAAATCTGTATTTGTATCTGTTCCTGTATTTGTATTACTCTGCTGTCTTTTGACCTCTGTCTTACTGCAAGGTGCAGAGTGCAGGTGCAGCTTAGGGTGAGGAAAAAGGGGCTTAAGGTTTCTGAGCAGTCCATCTTGGAGGTAACCTAAAAAGTTATGAAGCTATTACCAATAGCTAGAACATCAGAACATGTAAATACTTATGCAGCATAGTTATACTTTGCTGTTTCTGTAACATTTACAAAGGATCCTTAGTATTTGCAAAGATTTTAAATTAGATCTTATAGAAGAGGTGACTTACAGTAGGAGATTTTGCCTGGTGTTCGAATTTGCTACTGGTTCCTGGCTTTTCCTGCCCTGCTACAAGAATAGCTTCAGGGCCATCTCCCTTTTGTGCTCCACAGAAAGGAGACAAAGAAATAGCTAAGGTATTTTCCTCCTGGTTTTGTGTTTCTGCTCATACTAGCTGCAGTGGTGGTTTACATATGGTGCTCTTTCCTTTTGAGACTCTTGGGAGGACTGTTTAACACAGAGCCTAGCCCCAAGAAATGCAGATTGTTTTTAACTGAAATTATGAATGCTTTTCAAGATCCGAAGTAGGCTTTGATATAGTAAGAATCGTTTTTCACCATATGTTTTCTTTTGTAGACAAACCCAGCCTGTTACAGTGAATCCTGTTAGAAGGCGGTCTTCTTCCAGGATGTCTTTGGTAAGGAGGTCAAATAGTCTTATATTTGCAATTTTGTTTATCTAAATTGACTTTGAAACACTAGTTCATTTCAGTGAAATAAAATGAGCAGTGAAATAAAATGAGCCTACTGTGTGAGAAACTCTCCTTAACTTTTGGAAAAAGCTGGTATGTAATGTCTGAGTAGTGGAATTAATAATTACAATGCAAAATATTTTAAACACTTCTATTTTTAGTTTAAGATTGATCTATCTCTTACAGACTCTCCTAGATGTCAGATGGCAAGGTTCAGTCTTGGCTGTTTTTATTCCTTTTACGACTTCATGGGAGAAATTTACATTGCAGATTTAGAGAAGTGGTTTGGGACTAAGTCTTTGTGCAGCATTGTTCAAGACTTCTATTTTTAAAATAAATCATGATTCTTTTTGTAGCTAATAATAAAACTCTTTCTTTCTTAGCCCCAGCCTCAACCTTATATGATGCCTCCACCACCTCAGCTGCATTACAACGGTCATTATACTGAACCATATGCGTCGTCCCAAGGTAATTTGTAGCAGAGTTGAAAAGTTTGAAATCTTAAATAATTGTAAACATGGTGGTAAACAGCCAAACCTTTTGATTTTATTATCATGAAAACTAAGACCACGCTATACCACTTTAGAAGGTGGAAGTTATAACTTGAATTTATTTGCATTTACTTTTGCAAAAGTTGGGTAAATTCTTAGGCTAAACATGGGACAAGTTTGCAGTATGTCACTCATTGCAGTGCTTGCTTCTACTCTAGGCAAAGGCTGGTGCGATATATCAGATAGGGGAAAAGTGAGTTACTGATGGCATTTACAGCAACTACATGTAGTGATTGTTCTTGCATGAGTTTAAACTGCCTGGAGTTTGTTTGTTTGTTTATGTACCAGACTGGTACTTTATGGCATTCTGAGATCCTTGTCAGTAGTGATCTTGATGGCTACAAAGCCTATCTGAGCCCATAGACAGTTTGGAGAAAAAAGCGTTTTTAAAACCAGGATGTAGGAAGAGAGGAGTTTATCTCCAAGATTATTAGATGAGAAGGTGGTGGGGAATCCAAAGGTTGAGGAAGTCCACAGGTTATGGAATTATTAAATGTTTGTTTGAAAGAAGGAGGAAAAATAATCAGAATTCTCAAGGAATGTAATCTATGTAATTGCGCAGTGGAGTCATGGCTGCTTTCTCTCTCTTATTGATTGTTGCACATTGTGTCTTTAGTTAACAAAGTTGCTACCCTAAAGAGCTTAATCTAATCCCATGCAAAGTAGCCTCGGTTACTGAGGTACTAGTAGCCCGTGCAAAGTAGGGTCAGTGACTGGGCCTTCGAGCTCTACAGTCCCCTAGATCAACACGTAGATTCAGAACATCCCTGAATTGTTTCTAGTGTAGTGTTGGAACCGTTGCTGGACACAGTGAAGACTATTGCACTTCCTACTGCAAAAACCCTATTTCTGAAAATTTTTTTTCACAAACAAAATAATCATTTATTATTAGCGGATTCATTCAGATAAAGTCGTCAGAATCACTGCTACGTTTAAGTGCTACATAACTAAAAGCATCTAAAGCAGTGACTTATTTACTCTCTTCTGCAGCTTAGCAGATTAAAAATTACTTCCTTGGCTGTACGAACTACTAAGTGTATGTTGGATGTATAAACTATGAGGTCATTTTCTTTATGCATTGCTGTGGTTATATGTTAATGTGCAAAGACTATATGGTGATTGTTTAAACTGTGTCCAAAGTTTCTGGAGAAAAGTTGTTTTGATTTTTAAGGATCTTATAGTATTATATCCACTTATGACCTGAGTTTTGGTTTGTTTTTTTTTTTTTTCCCACTTTTTAAGTTGATCTCATTAGATTAGTGCAAACTCTGGTGTGGATGTTCTTTCTTTCAACTAAAGTGTTTTAAGATTAATTTAGATTTGGTTTTACTTAGGCCGAAGCTTAGCAAACCTAACCTGAACCAAAGAAAGCCATTCTTAAACTGAGATAATGTTTTCCCCTAGGAGTCTGCATCATCTAAATGATCATTATAGGTTATTCTGGTATACATACCTTTAGGTATCAGCAACAAAAAGAAAGCTACTATGTTTTCTTCTCTTCTCAGTTCAAGACATAGCTGCATATAATTGAGATCTTGAAAACCTCAGACATTGGTTAGCTACATCTTAATAGAGAATATCTTATTTATGTTGTATCTTGGACATAATGATTGTTCTTAAACTTTATTTTCAGATAACCTCTTTGTGAGCAATCAGAACGGATACTATTGTCACTCTCAGACTAGCTTGGATAGAGCTCCTCACGATTACAGCGGCCGAATCCGCAATGGTAGCGTCTATAGTGCGCATAGCACAAACTCTTTGAATAATCCACAGCATTACTTGCAGCCATCCCCCATGTCCTCCAACCCGAGCATTACCGGAAGCGATGTCCTCAGAACTGATTATGTACCGTCGCATAGACATAGTGCGCTAATACCACCCTCTTATCGGCCCACACCAGACTATGAAACTGTAATGAGACAACTCAACAGGGGAATGATACATACAGACAGGCAGAGCCATTCAATGAGAAATCTTAACATCAGCAATTCATATGCTTACAGCAGGCCTGATGCCTTAGTTTACAGTCAACCTGAAATACGAGAACATGCTCAGTTCACTTCCCCACAGTCTAGCCATTACCCGTTTAACCTAAATTACAATTTTAATAGCCAATCCCCCTATCCCTATCCTGAAAAAAAAAGTCGTGGGGGCAGTCAGTGTGCCTGAGTTGACAAATGTACAACTCCAGGCTCAGGATTATCCAGCGCCAAATATAATGAAGACCCAAGTCTATCGACCGCCTCCCCCATACCCATACCCAAGACCTGCAAATAGTACTCCAGACCTTTCCCGCCATCTCTACATTAGCAGCAGCAATCCAGATCTTATCACAAGGCGAGTGCACCATTCTGTCCAGACCTTTCAGGAAGACAGCCTGCCTGTTGCACATTCTCTTCAGGAAGTCAGTGAGCCTCTAACGTCAGCACGCCATGCCCAGCTGCAGAAAAGGAACAGTATTGAGATAGCGGGCTTAACTCCCAGCTTTGAAGGTATAAGAATCAAAGAGAGGACCATGTCAGCATCTGCAGCAGATGTGGCCCTTCCAAGGGTTATCTCAGAAGGGTCACAGCCTAATATTCTGCTGGAGAGAACAAAACAAAAAGAAAATGAGCAAGAAGGCATGAACTGTGAGCATAAGAAAACCCTTTCGGATGCTACTATGCTGATTCACAGTAGTGAGGAAGAAGAAGAATTTGAAGAAGAAAACAAGGCTAGCATGAGCCTGTCACCTCTCCCTGAAGATCAAAGCCAACTTTCAGCCATTATGAGTGGTTATTCTCACGATTCTGTACTGAGCTACCCCTACAGCTCTGTTGCTTCTTCTGCTGGACCTTTGCATATTCTTGAGCCTAAATTGCATATTACAGAGACAGAAAAGAGAATGAAAGATATGAGCCCAGTTCATTTACTGGTAGAAAGCCAGGTACAAAGAAGAGGAGACGGACTACTTACTCCATCGATGTCGGAATCTGACCTTACAACATCAGGGAGATACAGAGTAAGGAAGGATTCAATAAAGAAGCGACCTGTATCTGATCTTCTGTCTGGGAAAAAGAATATTGTGGAAGGCCTTCCCCCGCTAGGTGTAAGTGGATATTATTTCTCTTGTTTTGGGTTGCTTCAGGTGGCGTGGTTGCGGGGGGTTTTTAGTTTGTTGTGTTAAAAAGCAGCCTGGGAGATGCTTTTAAAACATAAGATTTAAAAGCAATCCTAAACTTCATCTTTATTTTTCTAATAACTTTGTTTGGCTATCTTTTATCCCCTTCTCTGCCACTTTGGAGTTCTGTTTGTATAGTCCTCCCACGCAGATGCAACCGTGCAGCCTCCCCGGTCTGATACAGCAAACCTAGCTAGCAACTGTAGAATGAGCTATTTTGAAGTCAGTGCTAGTCTCCGTGTTCTGCCCTACCTATGCTTTCCTGGGACAGAAGCAACTGCTTCCATTCCACTACCAGCTTTCTAATATTGGAACTTCCCTTACTGAAAAATTGGGTGTAGCTGAATGTTTATTTTTTTGTGGTTCATTAGCTTTCTTACTCTGGCCAAAGAGGGAAATCTGACACATTAAGACAATAGATTCTTTCCTTATTTTTTTTTTTCTTTTCTTTCCTCCATCTCTTCCGCTCCCTATAGCCTTTCCTTTTTGCCTTGCCTTCATGCTGGTTTTATCCCATTAAGTTTATTCCTTGCTGCCATTTCCCTTTCTCCTACTCCTATCTTATGATTCCATAAAAAGAAATAAATGGAAAAACTATAGGTTTCACCTTTCCTGTAACTCCTCAAAGAAACATCAAGGCCTGTGTTGGACTGTACAGTTTCATTGACAATCTTTACCACTTACTCTATTTTTAACTTTTGTTCACATTATATAGCTCCTGGCATATTTTGAGTGCTAATGAAGGAAGACCATGTTTTGGGGAGTGGGGATGGTGTTGGGTTTTTGGTTTTTTGGTTTTGTTTTTAATTGATTGCTGTTAGCTTTTCCTGCCCAAGTTAACTGTCCACTGTCAAACAGTTTTCTATATGAACTGGACTGCAGTGGAACTAGCATACTGCATCTCCTGCTTTAGTAGCTGTTTTGCAGCTGATGCTGCAAAAGCTCACCTAGATTAAGCCATTTTTTTAAATAGTTACTGCTCTCACTGTTTTCTTGTGTATCAGACTTCTTATACATGAAGCTGACACAATAAAACAGACTAGAAATTTATGCCATCTTCCTCAGCTTCAATCATTTGATCATTTCATATGCTTTCCTAAAACCTCCTTCCTCCTGTTTGTTATGTGGATGTAAAAAAAAAAAAGATGATATCCTTCTACTTGTGTTCACAATTAGATATAGTTGCTTTGTATTTTGTTCTCCATATGGTATATTTTGAAACACTGATGAGCCTACCGCAATCATACCCTGCCTTTTCCTTCTGATAGTCATGTGAATATTCACTTCAACCTTTGAAATGAAATTGATATTCAAACTTTTTCATTTGAAATTTTCAACAGAATACTTTCCAGTTCAGCAAATAACATTTTAGAGTGCTATTGCAGAACAGAAAATATTACCTTTCTGTATTTAATATTGAGATGAATAGCCTGATAACTGTTCCTACCAATGTTTATGCATTTTGCTTTCCAACGAACTCTTGCTTGGCTTTTAAATGCAATTTCATCTTCTTTTAGCCTTGTCTTCTTTTTCCCTACCACCATTTAGCTTTTGGAATCATTGATTTTTTTCGTTCAAGCAACATATTCACCCATATTTTCAGCGTTTTCTTTTTTTAATAACCAAACTTAGCAACTGCAGGAGTGATGAAATTTTCTCTCTTATGCTTTTAAAATCTGCTAGTATTCTTTCACAAAAATCTGTTTTGTATTTTTGCCAAATCTTGAGTGGCAGCTTCAATATTTTAGATTCAGGGCTCAGATCTTTCACTGATTCTGTGTTCATGTTTTCATATGTGCAGTTTGTTGCAAAGGCAGCCAAACATTAAAACTGTATCTAAATAGCATAAGGATACATTCTCATTGTTATGCCCACCTGTAGGGAAGAGAAGGGCCTGCAAATTGTGTAGTTTAACATAGGATTATTTTATTTATGTATTTTTGGGGGAGTGAGTAGTGATTCCAACTCTTTTCAAGAATGATAATTACCCGGAGTTGTGGCCTCACACCTTCAGTTGTGACCTAGCAGGGACCTTGCAGGGAGCAATACTTGTCATTCTCGTGCCGTTTCAGTAACTTGCCTGGAATGAAGACGCTCGTGTTGTGTCCTTGGAGGAATGTAGTCCCACCACCCTAATCTCCCACTGCTGTCTTTATCAGAGAAAAGGGTCAAAACTGTGTTCAGTTTGCAGAAGGGGTCAGAGAAGTATCCTTTACTCCTCTGGATTCTGCTTTATAACCTGATCAACTATTTAAGCGTATTCATAAGTTTTAGCTTTTCTTTTACAGGGCATGAAAAAGAATAAAACTGATGCAAAAAAAATAGGGCCTCTAAAGCTAGCTGCCCTAAATGGACTAACCTTGACTAGAATGCCTCTGCCAGACGAGGGGAAGGAAGAATCAACAAGAGCAACAAATGATGAACGGGTATGTTGAAATTTTTTAATCCTTGATTTCACATTAGTGATTTTTTCAAAATGAAGTGCATATGAATGGTACTATGTATTGACTTCCAAAATGCTTCAGATTCAAAGTAACTCGAACGTTGAGCATAGAAACAAAATGATGAGTGAAACTTCTGATTGCTAAGTCACTGAAAGGCATATTGGGTGTGACTAAAGATTTTTCTTTAAGGTTTAAGATGACAGTAATTCACTGAAGCTTACCCTTTGAACATATAGGCAGCAAATTATTTAGCATCTACCAGTACGTTTTTGCACCAAGACTTTCTGATTTCTCTCAATTTTTAGGCCCCTTTCCAGACTAAAAAGGCCTGAACTTGATTGTAATGATTAGTAGTTTATACAATTTTAACAACAAATTGTGTAGTTAAGTTGCATCCCCAGGATACAGCTTGTTCAGACAACCTTTATCTTTTTTTCCTCAGATGTATCCCTGAGAATGTGGTTGGGACTTGTGTGATCTGCTGAAGTTTAAAATTCATTAACCAGGCTCAGATCACTGAGGGAATGTCAGGTTCTAGGGCTGAGGATCAATACTTGAGAGATAGAAGATATAACCGATATCAATTAAACATACCTCAGCCTGCCTCGTATACCACTAAATGGGTGCAGGAAAGTGTGAAATCCAGTGAATATCCAGACTGTGAAGGGCTATATAGAACAATGCTGTCATCACATATCTGACCAGGGAGCGATTAGAAAAACCAAAGTCTGCACTGACTCCTTGACATTCTGCAACCAGTCGTTACTTTAGAATCCAGTTCTGAGCACGGATGGGTATCCTTAGCTGCAGTCCACTCCTGCTCAGTTCTTCGACAGTCACTGGGTATCTTGCAGGATTAGAACCAGCAGGAACAGTCTTGGTCTCACCAGCTGCAGTTTCCAAGTAACATGCCAGGACAATTAGGTGTAAGTCACATAAAAGAAATTCAGTCTTGGAGTTTGAAGGCTTGGAATGAGACCAGTAAGAGGGAGGTTTGACTGTAATTTTATGGCTGAAAGTGTGCTAACGTGGCTTTTTGAACTATATGCTCCTTGAGAATGCTAAGGAGCAGAAAGTAACACTATGTTATTGAGATACACTTCCACATTTAGTACCTGTTTTGGTTGTTTCCTCTTACAGCCATCATCTTTTCCTGGATTGACCTTTATTGAATTCAGCCATATCATTCAGCCAGCTCTGCCCAAATGGCTGAGAGGAAAAGCAGAATCTGTAAGGTCAAGTTATGAAAAAGACACATACCTCCACACTGTCTCCTCAAGCAGTCATGTAGGCAGAATGCATATAGGGAAATGGGAGTGATTCCTAAGACTGTGGAGAAGAGACAAAACAAATCACACATATGACATGAAAGAAAGTCTAGACTGCAGTTATTTTTAGAGGGCAAAGACTTAAGTGGTTTCAGTGCCTGTTTCTTTGCTCAGCTTCATGTTACTATCGGGTTATGCTAGGAGATTTGGCCTAAAGAAGTTTTTAGAATGGGTATACTGATCTGTAAACGATGTATAATGGAGGTTTTACACTTTCCTCTGCAGCATTTGGCAGTACAGTTATTTGCCACAGTGCTTTTCTGGTGTGATACCGCAGAGCAGTTACTGTGAGAGGCTGGGGACATGTGACATAGATGAAATTTTCTGGCTGAAATATCACATATTATTCCTCTAATTATTGTTGGCAAGCAGATGCTGAAATTCCTGAAGTGTCTTATGATTTAGAAAGAACTTAGTTTTGAAAGAATAAATCTGTTTTGGGGCTTATTAAATAAAACAGACTGAATTATTCTAGTAGAAAAAAATCATGGGTTTATAACTCAGCTGCAGCAGGAGGTTCCAAGAAGGCTTTGCTGCTGTCTTCAACATTTATAACCTTCAGCCTAAGGAATTGTGGAATAATTAGTTCATTCACTGAGCCAAACATTTTATTTTGGATCTGTAGAGTTTTTCTCCATCGTCACTAGAAATTTGACGGCATTTTTTTTAGATTACAAAGTTAAAAGTGATTTTTCAAATGTTGCAATCAAGTATGCTATATTGAGTGGGAGGATTAATGAGTGTTTCTTGTTTAGAGGTATTTGAGGCAAAGTTTATAGCGTAGCATAATTACCTTGTTTGGCCAAATATTCCTTTGCCCAACTGGGTTGTCTCTATAGAAACTAAGAAGCAATTTTTGTTTTCCCCCAGTGGTATCCACCGTCTTTGTGACCTAGCGAAGTATCACAGGATTCTTACACAGATTTCACTTGAGCAAAACTCTTGCTGGTTAGAGTTGCTTCTAATTTATTCTGGTATGTTTTGAAAAACATTAGTAGCTGGAAAAGCATTAAAAAATGTATATGAGAGGAAAATACATACATTTCATCCTTGATGAATTCTATGTTAAAATTCACTCACCTTGGTATTTGACTTTGTGTTGTAATCTTTGTTCTATCTTTTAGTGCAAAGTTCTGGAACAACGGTTAGAGCAGGGGATGGTGTTCACTGAATATGAACGCATTCAGAAAAAAAGGCTTATAGATGGTGAGTGCTCAATAGCTCGGCTTCCTGAAAATGCTGAAAGAAACCGGTTCCAGGACGTCCTTCCTTATGATGATACCAGAGTAGAGCTAGTCCCAACCAAAGAAAATAACACTGGTTACATCAATGCATCTCATATCAAGGTGAGAGAAATACTTGTACAGAAATGTTTTCCAGCTGGTATGGCCATTAAAAATGGAGTTGGCCTTCAATTCTGGTTTTGTTAAACAGAAGAAAATCCTTCCCCTTGTCTCCCTCTATTTCGGGGCAGGAGGAACCTTTTTCTCCTCCATTGCCTAGAATAATGGAAGGTTAATTGTTGGAGAGGTTTTCTGGTTTTTGCTTCTGTATTAGGGAGGTCTTCTGTATTAATCTACTTCTTCCTCTGCCCCTCTCTCTGCATTGGTACTAACAGAGGGCATGTCCACCCTTTCCTCAGTTAAGAAGGCAGATGGCTTTTAAACAAAGTGGGATCCTTCCCTGTGATTATGACATGTCTGAACTGCAATTACAGACTATTATTTCTTCCTCCTCTGTATTCTCAGGCTGGATTCACAACAGGCAGTAGGATAGCTCCTTGCTTAAGCTTTGTTGTATGGTTAGAGGGACAGATGGAGCCAAAAGAGAACCTGCTCCTTCATCATCTTCATTTGCCTGCTTTCCCCAGCCTTACCTCTTTAAACTCTCTTTAAAATGGTGAAGAAACAGCAGGGTGAACTCAGGGAGCTTCGAGGCAGTTCATTCATTTTCAGTACACATGGCTACTCGTTAAAGTGCAACTGCAAGTGGTTTCATGCCTCTGAAAAGAGTCGAGATCTTCTAAATAGCAGTAATAGTTGTGTTTCCGTCCTTTTTTTATATATCTGTTTACTCTCTGACAAAGTGTCTATACTTCAGTTCATTCACAGATTTCTCCAGCAGCTCTCACCCTTCTGAAATGAGATAATGTTTTTGGAGGAAACATCAGATAAAATTTGTAGAAGAGATCGTTATCAGTTTCCTGTACTCACTGATACATTATGTTTATCACTTAAAATAAATGTATTTAGCCATGTGCCTGTATAATTTTAAACCTTCCTTCTCTCCTACATCTAATGTGACAGGATGCAACTGAAAGCGGATAGGCAGATGGGTTTACAACTCACACTGGCTGCCTCTTGTTTCTGAGTGTTGCTATCTTTCTCAGTTTATGCATCTTAAAATGGCTGCTTTGGAACTGGGGAAGGGGAGTTTTCCATAACTGGTCATCTAATGTCTTTCTGCAGATCTCTGTTGGTGGCATTGAGTGGGATTACATTGCTACACAGGGCCCTTTGCAGAACACATGTCAAGATTTCTGGCAGATGATCTGGGAGCAAGGGATTGCCATCATAGCTATGGTCACAGCAGAAGAAGTGAGTGTAAACTGGGTCAGGTCTACCCCAGAAACTTCTGCAACGATTTCAGTATGATCTGTTGCAGGAAGGGGGGGAGGGGGGATGTTTACTAAAACCAGAAAAACAATTGAAGATGATTTTATAGGGACCCCCTTAACGTTCTGTCTTGCTTTGATTGACAGGCAGATGTAAATTTGCAAACCCTTTCCCATGGGGAGCTGGTTTACTCAGTGAGAAACCGTGAGACTGTAGTAACACTTAATGGAGGAGAAATATAATTGTTACGGAAACATTAGTTGCATGTATATTTTTGTGTTTCTTGTAAAGCAAATGTTTTACTTTTAAGGAAAGTGGGAGAGAAAAAAGCTTCAGATACTGGCCACGTCTTGGCTCAAGACACAACACTGTCACATATGGAAGATTTAAGATTACCACGCGATTCCGCACTGACTCAGGCTGCTATGCAACTACGGGTTTGAAGATCAAACACCTTCTCACAGGACAGGAGAGAACAGTGTGGCATCTGCAGTATACCGACTGGCCAGAGCATGGCTGTCCAGAGGATTTAAAGGGATTTCTCTGTAAGTTGCGTTCAGTAGCTTTGCCTTTTTTTATACTACCTGGAATGGCTGCAATACAGGAATTAGCTTGTGATAGGTATGCCAAGCAACCTGCTGTAAAAGGTTTCTTCACAGCAGCAAGAGATACTGGATTATATTTTTGGTGGGAATATACCGGTCAGTTTGTTAAAGTGACTGTGTATGTCTAAAGCCGTGTATACAATTTTCTGAAAAGTCATATAGTTTAAAACCCAATTATACCACATACCACTCATTCAGTATGTACCAGCGATAGCAAGAAGGCTGCCACAGACCACCTTTGATGGGAGATTGAGAAGCAGGCAAAAACCTTACAAAAATTAAATGATTTGCAGATTTGTATTGCTTTGGGTGGGAAGTGAAAGGTGATTTATTTTCTGTGTAATTTTTCCATGGGATGTAACTTGTTGAATTAGTGCTACAGTTTCTTTCTGGTGGTGACACAGTCATAATAGCATATTGCATATAAGCATAATGGCTTATATCATTTTATCTCCTAAATCTATTTTTCTTCTTCTTTTGAACTTAACAGCATACCTGGAGGAGATACAGTCAGTGCGGCGTCATACAAACAGCACTGCAGATCCAAAGAACTCTAATCCTCCTGTGCTGGTACATTGCAGTGCAGGTGTAGGGCGAACAGGAGTGGTCATACTGTCAGAGATCATGATTGCTTGCCTGGAACACAATGAGGTAATTTCTTTTTCTTTCTAGTGTTGTAAATAATAGTATGTATTGGGAAGTAACCTGCCCAGCAAAGATTGTATAGCTGTTCACTTGAGCTTTCCTAAGATATGGCCGTTGGAAGAGCCTTACAGTTGGAGCTGAAAGAAGTCTTGGCAATTCAGCAGAAGTTAATAATCTTCTAGAGTGGCCCACTTATACACTGGGTATTGAAATGCTCATTTGTATTCTTGACCCTGTAAGGTGTTGAATCACTGGATGGAACAAGATATGCCCTGGGGTACTTGCACATATTTCAGTGTTTGGCCCAGGGTTTACCACTACTACTTCATGCCTCGATTTTGATAGTTAATATTCAAGGACATGCGCTGTAGTCCAGTCTCAGTGCTTATTATTAAACATTGTGTTTCTAAGTGTAGTAGTATTTGCAGTATCAGTGTCAGTAGAGGACAAAGTGATAGTTATTAAACATGAAAACTAGTCCTATCAGCCTTTAGCCAGAAGTGGACAGTTTGTTTATTGATAATATAAGGTGTATAATAGTATAAGGTGTTTGGAGAGCTGAGACTCTCCAAACTGATTGTTCCACTGTGTACCCCATGACACAGGCAAGTTTAACACTGTGCATGCTTCACAGATGAGGAAATTGAGATGGACATGGTTAGTGGTGTAGTTAAGTCCTTACTGTGAGAGCTGAAATTAGTGCAGGTGATTTTGTCCTTAGATCACTGGTTTTATCTTACACTTCCTGCTGTGAAAGTACATGCCAGTCTCCTTGCTCACCAGTTGCTGTAATGCTTTGTTCTCTTCCTCCAGATGCTGGACATCCCACGAGTGCTGGACATGTTGAGGCAACAGAGAATGATGATGGTGCAGACTCTTTCTCAGTACACTTTCGTCTATGGAGTTCTCATTCAGTTTCTGAAAAGTTCTAGGCTTATATAATCCCTGCCACTTCCTAAGGGATACCACAAGAGTTTACAGAAGTAAAATTACCGTTGTCCATGCAGACTTGCCCTTACTGGTGTTTTCTTCCTATGATGAGTCACACAGTTACCTTTCAGGACTGCTATGTGACTGTTAAATGCAAGTTGGTGTAACAGTCCTTGCAAAGCAGGATCTTCGCTGGACTAAATTCTTCCCATGTTCAGCTACAGCTATAGGAGGGAATGAGCCTACTTATTCTGTTTTGTACTACTTGCACACATTCTTTAGAGCAGTGTTACTCTAGGCAAAATAAATATCTTGTGGAACAGAAGTGAATGACACAATTTTACTAACTTTTTAGAAAAGTAATGTAGGTTTTAAAAAATGAATTAAGTGTGCAGAAGCGAAAACCTGTAGATGCACATGGGGAGAGGAACTTACTCCTTGGGAATGTCAAGGTCTTAAGCAGTTTCATTCTGCTTTCAGTTTTATATTTAGATCAATACATCTATGTTTTTTTAGGACGAACTTTTGGTTTCCTCTGGTTTACTCAGCAGAATTAGCAGCTCCCAGATGTTTTAAGATGTCACTTTAAGGCAGTTATTTTTGTATTCGTCTTTTTTTAATTTTGAAAAAACACTTTTTAAACAGCATAATATTTTCAGAGGAAACAATTGACAATGTTTGAACTAACTTTTCAAAACTTGTGGAGAAAGTAGTAGGAGAAACTGTTGGTAGTTGTAGAGTGCCAAGTAATAGAATTGGCAAGTGAAAGATCACATCAGCTGTTGGTAACTTCCATTTGAGCGAGAGGCATGTTTACCTATTGAGTTGTAGGCAAAAAGCAGGGCGAGAACATTGTAATTATCTACAGGTTCTTGGAAACAAATAGATGAGAGAAAGTACATATTCAGTATTATTCATATATTTAGAGAACAGTTTGATTTTACTGGCTGAAATCAAAGTGGATGCAAATGTTTTAAGCACTTTTTTGCTCTGTTATTTATGTAGTTAAACATAGAAACTATAATCTTATATTGTTTCATATGGTAATACATCATTACTAACCTGTTATTTTAGGAAGAGCCCTTTAAGTTGGTGAAGTGAGAGAACCAAAATTGGAGTAAGAAGGTATACAGTGGTGAAGTGGAAATGATCATGTGAAACATAATGGAGGAGGTGTGGCAGCTATGATTGCTGGTTTACGCAGTGCAAAGATGACCGTTACAGTTTTTATATTCCCCGTCAGGAAAGCCTTTAAAGCACCGGAAGCGTCTGTAGAATCTTTGAGATTATTTTGTCAACAGTAAAACAGATTTTGCTGATGCTGTGCAGCGTTGCTATGAAGGATAGTCACAGATGCCGTTTGAGAATGACTGCAGAACCTAAAAGTTCTTAGAAGTAACGCTGGAGATGTGGGTATTTTAGTAACTTTATAGGTGGCAGAGTCGATGGTTGTGGCATGGATCTGAAGATAAGTTCTACCTCTGGTAGTTTCCATTTTGTCCCTAACTATCATGGGTCTAGTCTAATAACAGGATCTCTGAATACTCCTCTCTCTGTGTTTTTAAAATGGAGATGTTATGATTTTTACCTTCTTTTTCAAGTGCTTGGAGATGCTGAATTGAAATTCCCTATTCAAAAGCGAGCTATTTGTTTGTAGATGTCTGGTTTAATTTCGAAAAGCCCCTCTGACAGTCAAGTCTGTGGGCCTGTTTATGTATCGCCTTCCTGCGATACCGACTTAGTGAAATGGAATGAGATTGAAAGTCATTTTTATAACTGGTAAAATAGCGCTATTTCTCTGTGAGCTGTGACAGGGATTTGGCAGCTATTATGAATAATTAAAAGCCCCTTCAAAACAATAATTGTCTTCTCAAAACATTAATTAAGAGGATAATAAAAATGTTGCTTCAGTTTCTTCTGTAATAAGCTACTTCCATAAAGACAAGCGTAAGTCCCAATGACATTTTCTAGTATGTCATCCCATAAAAAATGTATTTCTCTAAAGTACATTTTAATATCCACCTAGTGCATTTGGTCTGCTTTCAAGCAGCCTGAATTGTTCTACTCTCAATACAAGTAAGATTGAATATTTCAGATAGGGAAAAAAACCTCTTCCTGTAACTATAAAATGCCTAGCAAGTGTTCGCTGCCAGATGCAGTCCAGGGGAAACCAGTAACTGAAGACTGATTCTTGTATAAGCCTGTAAACAAACCAGTTTGACGTAGCCATGTTAATGAACTATCCTTGAAAGGGAGAAACATCTTTGGATGTTTGTATTCAGCTCATATTTTTAAAATATTGCTACTTTTGTGCCGCAGTTTATATAAGTCTTCAGAAATATGTTTGAGAGTGAAGCTGCACTGCAGAAAGGTAGCATGTAACATTTCCATTTCTGATCTTTGGACTATGGTCTGGTACAGGCAAATTTTAATGAGGTTATATACAATGACAACTTTGAGTGACGATTTTCAGACGTTCGGCGGTTAACGGCTGCACAACATCAGCTCTGAGGCATTAAAAAAAACAACTAAAATGAGGAATTTAACTTGAAGCTTGTGGGATGAGTTCTGACGTGGGTGGGTGGGGGGAACTATCTCTCTTCTTTTGGTTATCTTTTCCTTCCTGCTTGGAAGGACTGTGTTCACTGTGGGAGGAGTTATTCACTCTCTATCCTGATAATTACAGTTCAGATTTTTTTTTTTTTTAAGTGAGAGCAGTGCTACCTGCTCCCCTTCAGCTTTTAAATCCAGCCATCAGCAGTCCGTTTTTGTGCTCTTTGTATTAATAGACTTTATGTGAATTTTCCTAATGAAGATAGCAGACTTGCTTTTATAAGTAAGCATATATTTCTAAGTGAGCCTTGAAAATGAGCAGTTTCTCTTCTAAAGATACCAACGACATGAAACTACAACCTTCTGTGATAAAATGAATTAGATCTTCAGATAGTTTTAAAAATAAAATTGAGGTCCGTTTTTAGCACTTTGTTGCTCTGAGCCTTGATTGGGGCATTTTTTACATGCAGTTGCACTGGGTGCTTCATGAAGCATTGGACGTTATAAGAGAGTCAGTTGTCCAAATCCAGTCACAGCCTGAGCTGTAGGTGCATTTATTTGTCAAAATTCCACTATAAGTAAGTTCATTTTGCCAAGTATACTTCTGTACTTATGGGGAAGAAACCAGATTATTATCATGCAGATCTTTTTTAGTATGGAAAGTTTGTTCTAGGAAGATATTCCTGCAGTAAGTGACAGAAAAAGATGCTGATTTCCTAGGAATGTCAGAGTTCTCAGGGATCAATAAAGGTGCTATATACTGTTAAGAGGCAGATTTGACTGTTTGTTGTGGGCTACATGGAAAATGCTTTTTTAGGATCAAATTCTATGAAGAGTCATCAGAAAGAAGAACCTACAAATTACTGCTGGTAAGGGCTTCTGCACGTTTTCATTCCTTTCTTGTTTGCTCTCGTGAGAGATTTTTGGCCATTGAATCCATGTAGTCTTGGGCTAGCGCTCTTCTTGAAGAACTTGATTCAAAGCCCTGTTGAAGTCATTGCAAAGATGTCACTGACTTAGTAGGCTTTGCTTTAGGCTGTAAATTGCTCCTCCTCCATTCTGTGAAGGAGAAGCTCCATGGCATACAGAGGAGTTTTGCATAGCTTCTCTGCAGCCTGCACAGGAGAGCTCTCCTTTTTCTCCTGTATATGGGAATGCTGTCCCCTGTGAACAGCATGAAAAGTTTTATGCCTTAATATCTCTCTCTCTCTGCGATACCTTTTGCACAAGAGAACAGTAAAAATTATAACTTCAGGGAGCTATAATTTATATTTAGAAATACATGTAATTAAAAGCAGGTGAGCTAGGTAGGGTCTCTGTAATTTCTGTGAGTTAAAAGCAGATCTAAATTAACATTTAGGAAAAAAAACCAAGTAAAATGAATAGATGAAACAGATGTGGACTAAGCGGCAGGAATTCTTGGCGTTTTGACAAAGTATGTATTTCTGGCTCCTCTTGTAATCCTGTGTATCTGTTTTTAAGTGGATGACAGCTGGGGCAATTTTGTTGAAAAATGAGTTCTTAAATTTAATAACTATGACTACCATAGGATGCTACTGAAGAACAGATATGTGGTTTTCTTGTTGGTGTAGCTGTTAAAAGTGGAGGGGCTCGGACTTTAATGGCTTCTGGACCAAACCTGGGAGCTGCAAGGTTGTTTATCATTCAAGCTAGCTGTGTAATGGGGGGGGGGGGGCCCCCTTTTTTTTTTTTTTTTCCCCATCGCCTCCTCTACACCACATCTTTTTTTTTTTTTAACACTAGCAGCATTACTAAAACCCTGCAGTTAACATAGTGAACTTGCTACTACATTTCGGTAGTGAGCTCGGTTTATTAATTTAAAAGAAACAACAGTTCCATTGCTAGGAGTTACATGTTTTGTTTTGTTTTTTAATATTATGAACTCTTGCAAAGCCAGAGCCCTGTCCTGCAAGACGCAAAATCCTGCAGTTCTTCCCGGTATTGGGGGGAGCTCAGATGTGCTTAGCACCGATGAAAGCTTGAGCCATTAAAGCATAAATGCTCACATCTCCACTTCAAATACAGCTTACAAGAATTAGCCAAAAGAATGCAGTAGGAATGTGCATAAATGAAGCTGCGGCATTAAAAGGAAAGGTAGTTGAGATAGTTTGGAAGAATCTCTTGTGAAAGTGCAAAATGTTGGAACTAGGGAGGGGGGATTTGGGGAATGGCTGAAGGCATATGGAGGAGGATTTGGAACACTGTGTATCCACAGCAGGGCTGCTAGAAGGCTTGGGTCAAATGGTATGTTTTTCGTGGCGTGGTAGGGTAAGTGAACATGTAGTCATAGGTGTTATATTTACTGACATTTTTAATGTGATTTTTGAAACTCTAAATATTTTTTTCAGAGGCTCTGTTATTTTTATATATCTTCTTTTGCAAATATATTCAATGCAATCTATCAGCTCAGTTTCTGTTTACTTATTAAAGGTCAAATTTTCAAACACTGGTCTCTGGTTTTACACATGCAAACTGCAGGGGGAATAAGCATACATGCAGCTTTGCACTGATAATTTCTAATGGATGCAGGTTAGATTATTTGAAAGTCCAAATACTTGCTTTGTGAATGCAACCAAGTGTTTATAGTAGGTGTGAGCTGTACCAGGTTAAGTCTGGGCCGAAAATCAGGCCCCTGAACTGTGGAATTTAACTATGTGCTTTAACTATGTGCTTAGAAATTATATTGCAGTGCAGCATTTGCAATACAGTGATCTTAACTTCAGAGAATTTCTAATACTATACTAAGGTAAGGGAAAAAATCTTAAACTTTTAACAGCTATTACAAACATGACTGTAAACATTTCTTAATAAGATCCTCTTTGGGACCAGCTAACTTGGTGCGTTCTGTTGGCACTACATATGTTACTTCTATTAAGGTCTGCAGGGACTGGGGTAAAAAAAAAAAAAATTGATAATTAAAATAAGCATTTCAAAAAACAGTTACTAAATAACCTTTGTTTTTATTCTTTTGCATTTTCCATAAGATGCTGCATTTAGTGCTAAAGAATAACCTCTTTATTTGTTCTAAAGTGTATTTGTTCTTTACAAGTCCATTCTTTGGCTCTACTTGGGGAATGAAAGCAGAAATCAAATGCAAAGAAGCTAATGAATAGAGTTTACAACAGATCCAGCCTTGTGGCAAGCTGGAGAGCAAGTCTGTAGGTATCATGATCGTATTTTGTTTCAGATACGCGGCAATCAAAATACCAAATTATTATTTTATGAGCACAGTTGCAGAAAGTGCCTCAGCTTTATAAAGGGAATTTTAAATGCTGTTTTCCATTTGGAATTATTTAAGTAAAATTAGGAGACTTTGAAGTAGTTTTTAACATCTTGCAAACCCTGAAATGAATGATAGGAAACTAGATGGAAAAAAATATTTAAAATCCTTCAGCCTGTCACCTTGCTAATCCTGGATAATTCTGACAAGATGCATATGCTGTCTTTTTACAAAGACACTTCCTTAAATTACTTTGAAATGCCCCAAATAGCTCTCCTCTCTACAGCTGATTTTGGGTGGACTTGAATGGAAATTTAAGGGGCTTGACCTGGCAAAGCACTAAATATTTACACTCCTGCACATTGCTGAAATCTCTTCATTCCATTACAGCAATGGACATTTGAGGTCCTTTCAGCAGTTTTGTAGGACTGAATCCTAAATGTCAGAGGAATGCAGGATGTGGCTCCATTTTCTTCCTTTTTCATTTGAGCCGCTATGCAAGGATTTATTTAAATGAATTTTCAAGTATTATTTTCTGATATTAAGCTAGTGGTTAATATGTCTGTTGGCTGTCTTGCCACCAATACTGTAAAAATGTATAATCAAAACAGCTTTAATTCTTGTAAAACTGAAATTGGTTTGTAAAACAATGTACAAATTGTGTTTCATAGACAGAAAAGCTTGTATTACTGAATGTAATATATGTGAAATGAATATATCATAGTCTATTTTTGCCATGAAAATAAATATTTGAAACTATTATAAATGTTTATTGTTCCGTTATTAAAGATCAGTGAACTTAATTTTTATGTGCAATCCTAGGTTGGGACTTGACCTTCACTTCACATAGATGTTATCCCTCTCCTAAAGCTCTACAACTACTGTCCTGCATCTCAATATGAAGATAGAATTTCCCCTGTCATAAATACTAATAGGTGTTATCTTTGTGGCAGGAAAGCCTGGGACTGCTACCTTATCGTTACTGTTTATAATTTTTTTGCATTTTCCAAAGACATTTCTAGTCTTGAACATTCAGTTTCCCTGTAACCTTTTAAGTGGCAGAAGGATAAAAAGGTTTCAAAAGTTGAGGAACCTTTTTCAAAAGCATGCTAGAAATTAAATGGTTGATTATATACTTGCTTACTATCACTGGAGCTGCTACCGATACTGAAGCTTTTGTTTATTTTATAATTGAAATTTAGTCAAGAAGGGAGGCGGTGCAGTGAGGCTGGCATGTAACACTAAGTGCAGCGCAAGACCTCTTACCCGTATGAGAGATGCATTTCCACTGTCTGTGCAAAACTCCAAATGCGCGGCACACTTAACTATTAGGAACCACCAGGTCTACTGCTATCCTGTTGAATTAAAATTTGTCTTCCAGCTGTGCTCAATCTGATGGCATTAATCAACTTAAGGTACGATAATGACTTATCAGCTGTATATACATTCTTGTCTGATCGTTTCCCAAATCCTCAGAAGGAATGTTCTGTGCATCTGGCCAAAACTCTTTTATTCGGGTGGAAATAAATATTAGAAGAAGAAAGTCCTACTTCCCAGACGCATGGTAAATATACCCAGCCGTTCCAGTCAAGATTTGTTACTTACATTGTTTTTACGCCTGAGGCACAGGTCTCTTCAGAAACCTAAATATCCTCTAAATCCAAGTTGCTCTAAATTTGTGGACTATAGCTGTAATCTTCCAGTCACTATGGAATACCCCGTAGAGCCTTCTGGTGGCCAGAGCTAGCTCACAGGGAAGCACCTAGATTCTTGGATTTGGCACAGTCAGTACCTTACTTGGGCGAGAGCTGCAGGACATGGTACAAGAGAAGCTTAGGGGAGCTAGTGTGAGAGGTTCCCAGCGCCATGCCTTGACGAGGGGAGAATCAGGAGAGGTGAAATAGCTCTCGTTCTCCTGTAAGGGCTGTTTAAATCTGGAATGGCTGCTGGTAGATGAGGTTGTGTGCATCTCAGCAATGCTTTGTATCTTTACACGTGCCAGTTGTTCTGTTTAGTATCTGTTGGGGGGCTTTTTACATCCATTTCTCTTCCCTGAGATGTCAACGGCAACATATAAACGTGTATTTTCTCTCTCTCTCCACTGTTATGAGTGTCTGCTGGAAAGTTAGACTCTGCCCCAAGACAGAAGCTCCCCCGTGCCACGGAAACTTGTGTTGTCAGTTTACCGACTGCAGCCTGCGAACTGTTCGTGGATGATCACAATTTGGGAGTGTGAGGGGAAGGTCACTTGTACAGGTACCTAAAGGAGACTGGTGGAGATGAGTGAAAATTGGGTGAAAGTTGAATGTTGCAGCAGCTCTGAACTAAGCAAGTCATTTCTTATTGCAGTAAATCTTGCTGGCTCAGACTGGCTCTTGGGAAAGTTGAACCTCCTGCGGTCAGTGCCTGTACTTGAGTAATAGCAGTTGTGTGGTTCCAGTGGAACATAATGCTTAGGGAAATGGTTACTCTGATAGTTAAAGGCTAGTCCTGCAGTTATTACAATTGCTTTGAACGAACCTCATTAATTCAAAGAGAAAACAAGAGTGAGGAGGAAATGGATGGGCCTGGGACTATTCTATCACAAGATTTTTTTCCCCTCAGAACTGCACAGCGATGAAGGCAAGAGGGTATATCGGAGTTCATGGCGTTCTTAGGGAGCCTTTCTGAAGCCAGAACTTCAGGAGAAGTGTGTATCTTGGGCTGTCTGGGTGCTAAAGGGCACAGCATAGATGTGGGAGCTATAAGGGGTAGAGCTAAGAAAAATTCTGGCCCATTTCTGACTAACCCCCACATCTTCCAAAGTGATCTGCACGACAGGCTTCAGATAGACACCTAAATTTAAACCAAACATCTGTCATCGCAGACATACCAAACCAGTATTATTTACAGCCCTACTTATTCTATGGATTTAAGGTATCTGCTGTAATAAACAAAACAACCAGAAAAGACTTGGAGGGCTTGCTGATGAGATTTCTTAATCTAAAGATTAACTTAGTTCAGATTAATATTATTATTAGCCATTTCTAAAATGACAATCATATGCCAAATGTAAATTTAGAAGGACATCAAATCCTTCCACGAACAAACCCAGTACTATCATACTCAGAGGTGAATGAAGAATTTTCACTGGCGTTAAGTACCTGTAAAGCAAGCCGTTGTCAAGCCTGGTTAATACTGATAATCGGTGATTTGAAGGAACCACATACTTTGTGCATGCGTGTGTGTATCTGGTGTCTTCTGTCTGCATTCTGTGCTATTCATGACTGACTGAAGCTGAAAATGTCTTTCCATTGACAAAAAGCTCCAGGAAGGTAGCGGATAGTTTGTGTTTAGTGTGCTAAATGTGGAAGATGCTATTTTAGCTATGTTTATCAGGGTTTATCTGGGTTTCCTGCCACCACTGCAGTATAGAAATAAATGCATTTGCTATGCAGTGACTACCTCTGAGCCTCCCGAAGCAAG